TTCGTTTTTGGTTAGTTCCATTACCTTTCCTTCCTCAGAATCATTTTCTGGCTCTGCATCTTGGACATTTGTTTGAACCATTCTCTTGTTTCTTCGGGTGAGCTAGAATTGTCTATTGTTCTAGGGCATTGTGGGGTTGTTATATTTGTAAAAACATATAGCACAGTTGTTAGACCCAGTGGGAAGAAATCTTGGTGGGCTCCTGTAATTCAAGGAGCTCATGAAGTGGTTTTGGAAGGGAGGTGGCGGCACAATTCCGGGTCCTAGATGGAATTCCTATTGGCCTCAGTGTTTCCTATATTCAGGGCACTCAATCCAGAAGTAGTTCATGTGGACCCTTGAAGGAGCTGGTTTCAGTGTCAGACCACCAGGACACTGGGGGCAGCATGGCTGGTTAACTGCTGGTCTGGTGGCTCTGTGGGTTTTGTAGGTCTGGAGCCAAGCCCACCTGAACCCAGGTACCAATGCGGCACACCCAAGTGACACAGGTGGCCCCCACCTCACACTGGTGTGGCTTCCAAACATGGGACTCCAAACTCCCAGGGAGGAGGTTCTTCAGTGGGGGTAGGTGAGGGTGGGAGCTGGTCACACTTCTTTCTGGTCACCTGGGGAACATGGAGAAAAAGAAGAAAATCACACCTTTCAGTTGACCCAGTGAATCTGCTCCGCCAGGCCTCCCTCTGCTGCCAGAGCTGCTCACAAGACTATAGAGCCATGTCTGGCCAGCTGTTCACCAATCAGTCTCCCTCTCTTGCCTCCCTTGCTCGGCCTCTCCTACCAGCAAGCACTCCATCTGTCTCTGTAACCTTTCTGCTGGAGGTCAGGGTGCCAGAATTTTCATCTGCATCTGTTTTATTTTGTCTCCCATGTTTGTTGTCCATGTAGTGCATCTGCCTAGTCTGCCATCTTTACAGAAGTCCTCCAGAATAGTTTTTGTATTTATTTCTTAATAAGTAATATGGATGCATTTATGTGGTTCAAAATCCAACAGAAGTAAAAAAGATATGTTGTTGATGTTAAGTATCATCGAATCAGTTCTAACTCATGTGTAGGGTTTTCAAGGAGTGACTGATGAGTTTGAACCGCCAACTCTGTGGTTCAAACCAACCTTGCGGTCCAGAGCTTTATCCCAAAGTGCCACACCAGGACTCCTAAAGTATATACAGGTAGCAAATAGTGGAAACTACCCAGATATCCATCAGTTGATGAGTGGATAAATAAAATTGATACATCTATGCAATGAAATATTATTCAGCCATAAAAAGAAACAAATTAATAATTATTATGTGCTATAACATGAATCAACCTTGAAAAGATTACGCTATGTGAAGGAAGCCATATACACCTGTAAGAAATGTTCAGAATAAGTCAATCTATTGAGACAGAAATTTGGAAGACAACTGTCTGGCC